AGGCGCCAAGCATGCCCAGGAAGGTACATGAGGCCAATGGGGATTGAACCCAAGACCTCCTGAATGCCACTTGCGTGCCTTACCAACTGAGCTAGGCCGCTGCACGGATGTGCATTGCAAAACCTTTTGTTAGAATCTTCCTTGACATTCTCTTTCACATACCTGATGAAATTCTTCGGTGATCCTCTGCTTTACCTTCTTTACCATCAGAATAAAGACGAACACTGCAAAACCTTTTGTCAAAACAAGGAAGCCAATTTTCCACGTGCTTGTGCATTGCAAAACCATTTCGTTGGAATCTTCCTTGACACGTTTCCACATGCCTGATGAGATTCTTCGCTTTCTCTCCATCGAAATATCCACGTGCTTGGAGGCACACACACGCACACATGGTCAGTCAGCAAGTGCTTTCTCGACAGGAATAACAATTCAAATAACACACATCCGAGATCTCGTCGTAGTACCTTTTCATCATAACCGTCTATGCGGCGGGATATAATTCACACTCACGCCACCCTCACCTTACCCAGGCACACTTGCGAGTCGAAAGTGCAACAATCTGGATTCCTCAGGATCAACACTGCATCCCGACCGAAATAGCCATCTGCCCCACCCCAAAGAGGAAGGAAGTGCCGCCACTGGCAGCTTGATTTTTTTTTTTTTTTTTTTTAAGCGTGCACTGTGCAGTGCAAAACTGCGTTTGGCGCGGAGGTAGTGGCGGTTTCAAAGTGAGTGCGAATTCGAGTCCTAAGCACAAGCTGTATCTGCGCAACCTGGACAAGACCTTGTCAGCAGCAGCGTGATGCGACCGTACCAGATAAACAAATCAGATAAACAAAGCGCGGGTTCCTCTTCAAAGCATGAGCTGTTGACGGGAAAAAAACCTCAGAGATACTGGTGGTTTCGAAGCGCGAATTCGTCTTCGAAGCATGAGCTGTTGGTGGGAAAAAAAACCTCAGCGATAATGGTGGGTTCCGAGCGCGAATTCGTCTTCGAAGCATAAGCTGTTGGCGGGAAAAAAAAACTCAGCGATACTGGTGGTTTCGAAGCACGAATTCGTGTTCGAAGCATGAGCTGTTGCCCAGCATGTAAGAAAAAGACAACTGCTGGAACACCGCAGCCTGGACAAGATCTTCTCAGCCGCAGTCCGAGCAGTCCGTACCATTTACAAAAAAGAACCAAGAGCAAAGGATGGTCTGTCGCTCTCGAAACAGAACCCACGCACACACAATGTTGCCTTGCTTGGCTACTTGTAGACACAACAGGGCATACGTACTGTTCCAGCCGAGTCCCGAGTCCCAGGAGAGTGTTTGGGGTCGGTAGAGCTCCATAAAACGATATTCCACGAAGCGTAGACATGACAGCGTTGCTGCAACTCGGTGTTCGGTGGATTAGTAGCCCACACAGCATTTTCCATACCTGCACTTCCCAACACCAGAAAGGAAAGAGTGGTTTAAACGGTACAAGCACTGACAGCGAGAAATGAACCGTACACGCACTGATAGGGAGAAATTAACCGAACACACACTGATAGTGAAAAATCAACAACAACAACAACAACATAAACACCACAGACTCCTGTGTGCACAAAGGCAGACAAAAAATTCCGTGGCGGGACATTGGCAGATCATGATTGAAAGGAAACTGCAAAAAACGATCACAGTTGGGCCAAAAGGCAGACAAATGCTCCTTGTTCTCGTACAAGGAATAAGACTCCTGTGCGCACAAGGAATAAGAAAAAGCGAGAGAGAGGCAAACAAACCAGTTCACCGCATCATCGTCATATTAACATGCATGCTGCCCTGACCAGACCGTACATACACAAAACCAAGCGAGCAAAAGTGAAAGACAGAAAGGTAACGACAGTTATATGAGCAAAGAATCTCAAAATAAATAACGTCAGCAAAATACCAATGCCTTATGATATCACGAGCACTCAATAGAGCGACCCAGTACTGCAAGAAACCCCGTTCGCACGATGCAAGCGATTCACTGCACCCAACGGACAGACTCAGTGTATAACCCGCAACGAAAGACATGAGCTTCAGAAACGACCCGTACCTGAACTGAGAGAAGAGTAAGAAGATCTCACTAAGAGAAGTTAACGACAAGTAACCCTATACGAAGGCGGGCTCAGGGACAAGGCTCCTCTCGAGAAGGTGGCGTACGAGGGAGAGAGCAAAGCATACCCCTGTCACAGGCTTCCGCCACCACACTATCCCTACACTCGACAAGGTGGCATTTGAAATTACTCCCGCGATTGAGCATGAAAACTGGGTAGGGGAAAAAAAAAACCTGGTCTTAGGAAGAATACGAGAAGCTAAAGGACAGAACAGCTCCCAAAAAATGACAAACTGCTGGAGTTAAGAGGGATGGTGAGATGGCCACCGGCTTACTTTTGCTCATGACACTCATTTTTCACATATACATTAACAGAAGGACCGTGAATGCCATGACCATGAGAATAACAATGAATGCCAAGTCGAGAATCGCAATTGGATGATATAATAGAACAGAACACTAGGAAATGGGCAAAATACAAAGCATCAATTACAAGGAAGGAAGGATCAATGGGCAAAGGGAGACCGAACAACATGACGGAGGAGAGGGCAGCAGCCACAGCACTCGGGTGCTTGACGCACAGTTTCTCGTGACAAAGTCCATCATCAACGCACCTGAACAGTGCCCCAAAACACAGGGCGCCTGATCCTGGGGCAACATATATGAGGCCTATATATACATGCAACATACAGCACACATGCTCTCAAGTACGAGACCCGAAAACTGGTTTTCTTTCCACTGTCAACTGCAGAGAGGACAGACACGCAGAGAGGGGCCTGTAGGAGGACATCTACGCATGACCAATCCTCTGATTATGTACCCCGCAATTAACTGCAAAAAACAATAACAGTTGGGCCAAAAGGCAGACAAAAAATTCCGTGGCGGGACATTGGCAGATCATGATTGAAAGGAAAAACTATGTTGTGGCAACAAAGGTTTTCAAGAGGCTTATACCTGCAGCATTCTTCAAGAACCAGTCTCGAAGCGCTGAAGGCTTGCGCCAGATCCTCACTTGTCACCACCATATGCTCTCTCTCTCTCTCTCTGTCTGTGTATGTGTCTGTGCCCCTTCCCGATTGCCCCCCCCATCGACCTGCTCTCTTTCTCCCTCTCTCTCCCACCTTTTGTTACTTGTCGTGATCCAGCATGCCCAGCAAAGATTCATGCCTCAAGACAAGTGAACAGGCGAGCAAACAGTGACCCTAGCCAGCTACTAGCATACACTGCCCAGGCATGCTCACATGCAGCACATACCCTGCCATGTATATAGGGAAAGGCATCCAACCAAAACTCACCTTCATTTTGAACCGCAGTATCTATATACCTTCCTTTGCGAAGCAATGAGGGCGCTGTCCCACAAAACCGCTGACCACTTCACGCCAGTGCTCCCATCCTCTTCCTTCCTCCCACCAACAACTCTCTTGGATGTATCCTTGCTCAGAAACACCTGGAACCGCCCTCTCCCTCCTGTTGTTGATCTGTTCATATTAACCTACAACTGTACACTAAATTGAGCCCTTTATGGCACAGCACCAATGCTATGTTCCTTGGGAGCAGCGCACATCTACCCACCAACCTGTAAACTGAAGAATACAACTTCACGCGAGTAACATCAGGAGCACTACCGTCGACACCATACAAGAGGCACCTAGCCATACTGGGTAATCAGCAGGCGGAAACCGCAGCAGCCGTCATCGCCTGAGGTGTGTTGGAATAAAATAAAACCACTCTAATGCGCCGGATTCTCACAAGCACCGCCGCCTCCTCCTTCCCTCGACCGGAAGCAAACAGAAGGGTGTCCCCATACCCTATCGCATTCTATAGATGACACAAGGGTGCCCATACTGCCCTCCTCTCCACCTCTCACCCCCAAAATCCATCACCAACCCAAGGGACCACCCAGCCTGCTTTTACAGTGACTTGCACCGAAAAAACCGCCCTGTAACCCGAATGGAGAGTACACCCGGACTCTCCTCACTACTAACTTTGACTACTTCACACATCCCCATGCATCCTTCTGCCACCACCTTCAGCCCTCTACCATCTCACTTGAGGCACCAACAAAAATCAACATCACCTCGCTCGTCTTGCAACCCATTCAACCGACTCCCGGCCACTTCACTCATCCGAGTCCTCTGGAATCACCTCATAGACAATCTCCTTTATCGATTTCTTTCTCGAGTCCAAGTCGCACTTAAAATGCTTCTCTGCAATGACCACCAACAGACAACATCCATTTGATGTTTAGGACAACGCTCTCACCTTTCAACCCCTCAGTTACCTTCCCGTACCCTTACAGCCCGCTCTGCGCTGCGTCGACACGATCAAACACGCAAGTCAGGAGGCCAGCCAGCACAAAACACTCACCCGCCACAGACACCACCTCAAAGTTCCAGTCAATCAATTTCTGCTATGAACCAGCCACAAGACCCGTGCGCTTGACGATGTATTACTCAATTCACAGAAATGAAAAGTTCGACATGCAAGTTTTTTCCACATCCACATGACCCATCATCTGCTCTTGGCTTGTCCATTAAGAAAGGGCCCAAGAGTTGCTGGTGATGTCTTAACAACCTTCACTTGGCCTGATTCCCACGCGATCCATTAAAAGACCCCAAGCTCTCTATCCAACAACCAAAAGACAAATCGCATGGTATCCCAAGTGGAAGGGGCCTGATTCCGACCGAGCGGGCACCCCATCAGCTCCTCCTCCCGTCGGCGTCAGACCGTATCCATTAAGAGCCCAAGAGTTGCTGGTGATGTCTTAACAACCTTCACTTGGCCTGATTCCCACTCGATCCATTAAAAGACCCCAAGCTCTCCATCCAACACATTCCATTGAAACAAAAGACAAATCGCTTGGTATCCCAATCGGAAGGGGCCTGATTCCGACTGAGCGGGCACCCCATCAGCTCCTCCTTCCGTCGGTGTCAGACCGTATGGCTGACTACTCACATCTCATTGAATCAGTCCCCACTAGCATGTTCATCGCTTCCTCGCTAATCAACCGCCACGGACCCCGCAACGCTGTTTCACAGGTTCTGACAAATGGTCAATACAGGATTATGCAGGCACATGGACAACGGACAGCCGGGGCCGATGTGAACAGCTAGTAAGAGGCGTGCTAAAAATAGCCTGGAGTATCTATATACTTTACGGAAGGGCAGTCCGCATTGGCACAAGTGGGGGGTTCCACCTGGGGTGCTATGAATAGCAAGTGTCTTCACGGCACAGGACTGAGACTACTCGTCAAGAGTATTCCACATCTTTTGCACATATCAACGCACTTAGACAGCTTTCCACTCAGTGTGCATGAGGAATGCAGGTGCTTGTTTTTCACCATCTGAAGCACAGGGCAAAAAAAATGTTTTCAGGTCGGCAACACCTGTGCTATGTCTGATTCCAGACAGCCCTGGCCTCGAATGTGCGCAGCACGTCGTGAATCCAGCCGCCACCGCTGAGCCTCTCCAACCACATTTATTTCGTTTCCCTACACAAGTAAGGGAGACTGAGCAGGGGTGGAATCTCTATACAATTTACTTCCTCTCTCATGTTGCTTCAGAATCTCTCGGTCAAAAAGGGGACGGGGCGCCTCTACCTATGACGCCCTCTCCACCAACCTGATATGCAAGCCCCCTAAATACGCGGTGAATACACTTCCACGCGGCACTCGCGTTCTATCAGATACTCTTTTCTTACTCTGGGGTTCCCATCAGCTGGTTTACTGCTTTTCTTGCCTGCCTTCACAACCTCCCAGGTTCTTTGTTCCACCACAAAGACAGATCGTTCGACTAGGAACTGCCAGAGAGGCAATGCCTTGAGCCGTACACGCTTCCGCAGAAGAGCCATGGCAGATCAGATCGGGCCACTCGGAGCGACTTAGACCCATCTAAAAGGGGTACATAAGGGTTGCCTGATTAGTTGCTCCATTTTGTTCATAAACAAGGAACCAGAAATCATTCACAACAACAAAACAGGGGCTAGTTCCACAGGGGAAAAAAAAAAAAAAAAAAAAAAAAAAACATCGAAAGTTGGCGCCTTGACCTGTACTTTGCAATTTTTTTCTGTACCACACTCCTCGCAAGTTACCTCCATGAACAAGCAACAGGCAACAACTAGGCCCAGGTCTAGCAAACTGACATCTGTTTGAGACATGAGGGCGCAAAGGAGTTCACTCCAATGACACTCAACAAGTGTGTTCCACTTTTTCCGATTGTGGCGGGGAAATGGCAGCCAGACAGCTAAATGGCTAGGGCCGTCGTTTACTAGGTAATGCAAACCGCAATCCCCGAAGCGCTCTAGGGTACAGAGCTTGTCAACAGCAAAGGTCCATTCGGTCAGAAAGCCTATAAGCCAATGTCGCACACACACACAGTCTCAAGAGGCCACCACAAAGCACTCTACCCTACCCTGCCCGACACAACACCGTGACAAATGGTCCATTCCAAACTTCCGGGTCTTCATTTATACCCTCTCTCCTCATGCCCAAACGTGTGAGTGCACTTGCCTTCAGCCATGCTTCAGATTCTGCAACTGCTGGCAAAGAAGACCCTGCTTCCATCCTCAAATTTGACTGCCTGTTTCTTTTGACAGATGTTCCTTGTTCATGTTGGATATCGCACTCAGGTATGTTTTCATCATCTGAAAAAGAGGCCTGTAGATCCATTTGCATTCTGCAGCCAAGGTATGGTGCTTACGCTTCCGTCATGTTTGAGCCCATGGGGTATGCTACCAGCCAGCTTGAGTGCATGCTTGCTCAAAGATGCATGCATCAGGACTATCAATCATCGCATTCCTGATCCCGCCCGCAGTACGGGGAAAGCGGACCACAACTTGCACCACCTCCACAGTATGTTTTCAACCCCATCCTTCAATTCCGAGGAGTCGCATAACCTTCGCCCCAATCGAATGGCTGACCTTCGCAGCCGTCATCACACATAGGACTTTCTACAGAATTCCATCGATATTTTTGATGGTCAGATACCTCTTGCTCTACCATGTTGTTGCAAGACCGGCCGTGAATACGCACGATGCTAGCGCTGACAGGAACTTCGGCGATCATAGGTTTGCATAAAGTTGATACGGCTTTTTCCTTTACGAAGATTACCTGGTCCAGGACACTTGTAGGGGGGTCAAAGGAGGGCAAAATAGTTCAGCCAGGACACTCATCATGAGTCGCCACAGGCCCCAAACAAGAGAAGAGCATCTCCATAACCATATTCCCTCCCGCTAGGCAGACGATGCCCGATCGCCACGAGTGTACATTGCTCAGCCTTACCTGGTCCGAGACACTTGTAACGTCAAGGCAGGGGAAAAGATTTCAGCAGGGACACTCATCATCAGTCGCCACCGCCCCCACACAAGAACGAATCTCCAGGACGATTCTCCCCCCAGGGCAGATAACGTGCCCAATTGCCAGGAGAGCGGGGATGGGGGGGGGG